GCATTGAGTGTAGAGCTCTCGCCTCGCTCGGCTGGGCTAGTCTCCATCCGGTGATGTCCCCTGGCAGCCCCGACGCCTGCCGCTACCACCTACCCAGTACCACACGAAGGAGAAGCTCTGTCTGGCTGGAAGGCGCAAGCCACGCGACAAGGGAACCTTTCGAGAGAGGCCCGCCACATGCGAGGAGGCTCTAGGAATGCCGATAGCGGCTTGACAGAGCAGCACGTGTGGTAGTTCCGTGTCTTGCTCGAAACTGGTCCTGGATAGGATTTATCGGCAGTCAACATCACGTTTTGGAAACTTCCATCTTCATGCCACGATAAACCCGCGTAGCTTTTCGTCAAAAACCCACGTTCAAAGAGCCACAACTGCCGATTTTCCACGTCGACCGGCAGTGAGGAATCTGCCGTCTGACGCGTGAGGTTTCGCTCACTCTTGGGCCGCAGCCATGTACACGATTCGGCTGCTGCTTCTCGTCCTATCACTCGCCTTGGCGACCTTCGCGCAGATCGATCGTCTCTATGATAACCCAAACTGCACAGTAAGACATCCATGGTATGGCGGTCGTTCACTTTAGGGATGATGCTGAGACGTATACCCCTAGTTACCATGCCTGATAGAAGGCCTCACCAATTCAGACTGCAGCACAACGGACCAGGCATGTCTGTGTCAAGATACCGACTTTCTCCATTTTGTCGAGAGCTGTGCTGCGGCAAGCTGCTCCGTGAAGGAAGCCCTGGGTAAGAACGACAGGATCCGTACCCCTTGGATAGTAACCGGCTGACTTCCTCCCTTCTATACGCAGTGACGCAAAAGATTACCCAGGACGCATGCGATTTCTCACTACACGACGAATTCGGCGCAACCGTAGTGCCCCGTATTATCTTATTTGCCCTGCTTCCCACGCTGGCCGTCGTACTTCGCGTATCGGTTAAGATCGCCCGACTTGCTACATGGGGGGCGGACGACACCACTATCGTGTTGGCATACGTGAGCTTATCCCATGTCGCGACGTATCCACGACCCCTCGAGGGATCATATGGAGGACGGTTGGGCTGATTGAATTTCCAGTGCGTATTACTGGGGCTATTCTCGGCGGACATGCTGTGTAAGTGACGAGAGCAAAGGCCAAACGCCAACTGAAGATAGAGCTTCGCTGACGCGTGCACACAGGGGGCAAGTTTGGAGCTGGAAGAGATCTCTGGAGTCTTACTCCGTATGAGATTACGCACTTTTTCTTAGTATGTGAACCTTTAGAATCTCATTTTTGAGAGATCCCTTCTCCGTGGAACAGTAGTTTTGACACTCGCACAGAACTTTTACGTCCTGCAGGTACTCTATCACTGTACCATCACTCTAGCGAAAGCCTCGATTCTCTTTATGTACCTCAGAATTTTCCCTGACGAAAAGTTTCGACGGGTCGTTTGGGGCACGCATGCCTTCAATTTCTCCGTAGGCATCATCTACCTGCTCATTACCCTTTTTCAGTGCCAACCCATCAATCTGGCCTGGACCTTCTGGACGGGAGAAACAGAGGGGCATTGCATCAGCATAGAGCACACTGGCATTGGGCAGGGCACTATAAACGTCGCCCTAGACCTGTGGATGCTGGGTCTGCCGGCCACCCAAATTTGGGGGTTGAACATGAAGCGGAGCAAGAAGATTGCCGTCATGTCCATGTTCAGCCTAGGACTTTTGTAAGCTTGCCCTTGCCCTGAGTCGTGGGTAGCTGCTAACAACTCAAAGCCTTACAGTAGTAAGCATCATTCGGATATTGACGATCAAGGAGCTGGCCAAGTATCCGCTCAACCCAACTGGTGAGCACTCATCGACCCCAGGACCCTCATGACAGGTGCTAACACGGCGTCTTCAGCGTTCATCATGCCAGCCGCCATGTGGACCGACATTGAGGTCTACGTCGCGGTATTTGTAGCGTGCATACCGAACACGCGCCAGTTCATCTGGGGAGTGATCCTGCGACGGCACAACAAGGGTCAGAAGCTGGGCTCGGACCAGATACGAGAGAGAAGCCCTGGCATGATTTTCCACCCGAAGACGCCAATACGGGAGATGTGTGACACAGTAGACATAAGCCCATAAATACCCAATGTCAGGTAAAGGCAGATGGAGCGATGTTGTTGAAGCAAATACAAGATGAAACGTGTCTAAATTCCAGCAGAAGACCCCCACAGGCTGCCCTTCACATGACGTTTATGACCGCTAAAGAAAATGTTGCGTAAAAGCCAAGAGTGTTTGATTGGTCGGAGGGTTCCTAACCTAACAAGACGTCCCGCTCACTTGCATATGCGTGGCCCCAATGAAGCCCGCCTCGGGATCGGCGACAAGGAAAAACCGTGGTTCCACTGATTTTTACCTACCCAACGACGCCTGATTCTCACCGTCAGCATTAAAGCTCAGAAGTTTCGCGTCTGGGGGGCTACGAAAAGCTCTTGTTTCTTTACACAATCTCCCGGCTGGGTCACGAGGTCGGCCGCCTTTTCCAGATTTGAGACCGGCGACTTATGGCAAGCCTCATTAATCACAATGCGCCTCATCGACGTAAATTCGTTCAAGCTCCAGGAGTTCTCAGGGTCGGATATACCACCATACGCCATACTGTCCCATACCTGGGGAGATGCAGAGGTGTCGTTCCAGGAATGGCAGGACCTACAAGAGGCGTCCAGAAAAGCCGGCTATTCGAAGATCTACGGAGCCTGTCAGCAGGCGAAGGCCGATGGACTTGAATGGCTGTGGGTTGACACAAACTGCATCGACAAGACGAGCTCAGCAGAGTTATCTGAGGCTATTAACTCCATGTTCCAATGGTATGCCCAGTCCCAGATATGCTACGCATATTTGGTGGATGTTCCTACGGGCACGACAAATAATGAAAGCGATCAGGATGCTCTGATGGAGCGGTTCAGAGAAAGTCGCTGGTTCACTCGAGGATGGACCTTACAGGAACTCTTAGCCCCAACCAGCGTTGTGTTCTATGCATACGATTGGACCAGCATCGGAAGCCGAGAAACGTCACTGTCTGATGAAATACACCATGCCACGGGCATCGACCGTGGTTATCTCATCAACGATAGTATCATGTCGCCTTTATCTGCCGGTGCATCAACGAAGATGTCCTGGCTCTCCAAAAGGGAAGTCACTCGCGAGGAAGATCTTGCCTATTGCATGCTGGGCCTCTTCGACATCAACATGCCTTTGCTATACGGAGAGGGCATGAAGGCATTTACAAGACTCCAGGAAGAGATTGTAAAGTCGGATAACGACCACACAATCTTTTGCTGGGAATGGATCTACGCGATCACACCAACAAATTGGTCCAGTTTCCTCGCGCCGTCGCCTTTGGCATTCAGGAACTCCCACAGGTTTCGACGGAGAGATCCAAATCTCGACGAAACTGGCGGCCTTTCTACTTATCAAATGACGAACGTAGGCCTGTCGATAAAACTCCCTATGCTATACACAGGTATGGCAGGCTACATTGTAGCCTTGGATGTCGAAAACAGCGAGGGAGCACAGGCATGGATTCAGGTCTCCGGCCACGACAATGGAAAAACTCTTTACGTCTCGAGGCATCCATTTCCACCTAATCCGCTTATGATTCGACGTGGACTTTTTGAACCATTGAGATCCTCAAGACGAAAATCACTCGTTGTCCGGCACAAACCCAGGGAAAGGCCATTGCTAATTCCGGCCTGGGCGAAGCTGGAAACGTCACATTTGACAGACTCGGCCTGGGCTGGAAGATATGGTATACTACCAGTCTTTGGGTCAACCAAGCTACAGTCTGCATGGGCTCGATTTCATCAGCTGGCAACCGATTCCCACGACAGAATTATGTGGCTGGACATGGTGAACAAAGGAGGGGCCGTAAATATTAACGATGTTTACGTCCCAAACATCCTTACGAACTTGGACGAAACCCAAAAAGAAGTACGAATATCTCTTTATCTCGGATTCGTAACGGCAAAAATGGACCAAAGCTTGAGTGGTTGGATTTGCCGACTCCATGTTGCAACAGACCAGGCTTCGGCAGCTCCATCTGAGGAGTCGGAAAAAATGAAGGGGGATTTTATGCGCGAAATAAAAAAGAACGGCGATGTGGCTTTTGATCGAATGGGAGGTTTTGTGAGAGGGATGTTGCGCGTCCAGTTTTGGGGAGATGAGCTTCCGTACTTTAATGGCGCAAGAGTCAGATTGTTATTGATAACGCCCCACGATGACACGAAGAAGGCGGTAACGAATTTCGTCGAGAATGACCACGTCACGAATGGCAGTGAAGGGTCGTCGCAGAGCTCAACAGGTGCCGTATGGAGCCCGTAAATGTTGAGGAAGCTTAGAGCCCACCCAGTAAGGGGTTTTGCAATATGGAGCCCGTAGATAAAGGAAGAGAGCGCAGGCTATGTTCGTATTAGGAAGAAAACACATGACGAAAAAGAAGTGAGCCTTATTGAGATCATTTCAACGTCTATTGCAGCCCCAGTGACTAGGCATCAACCTATGAAGATGTTTTGCTTCTATTTCTTGGGACAATTTGACACTCAAACTGCTTCGGGTGGCTGGTAAGCCCATTAGTCAACTCAATTCGGGGGACGATCTTTGCACCACTGGGCCCGGTTGCCTTCTCAATACTGACTGTTGCCAGTATAGAAGCGACCACAATCCACACACTCGCTTCCGCCAGGTGCTTCCCAACGCATATCCTTCGACCGAAGCCAAATTGCCCCGTAGGAAAGGGCTCACCGAGTCCGCCCTCTTCGACAGGGATATATCGATCAGGATTGAACGATTCAGGATCAGAATATGTACTTTCATCGTGAGTCATTGCACGTGCGTTAGCATAAACAAGCGATCCCTTGGGAATGAACATTCCCTCGTAAACATCATCTTGTAAAGACCGGTGCGGCACCCCGATTGGTGATACAGGGCACCATCGTAGTGTCTCCTGGACGATGTAGTCGATATATGGCAGTTTTGGCCGATCCTCAAATGTTGGCAGCCTGTTGTCTCCCACGACGTCGTCGACCATCCTTCGGGCCTTCTCTTGGATTTCAGGGTGGAGAACCATGTTGAGGACGAATACCACGAGCGTAGACCAAGTCGTATCCTGACCTGCAGCATAAACAGCCCCGGCAGCCCCTTTGATGTCGTCCTCTGATAAATCCGAGAAACCGCTTTTTAACTGCGTATTTCTCTGGTCGAGCAATATCTTAATGAGGCTGTGCTCGGGGGACTTTTGCGCCGTGACGGCGGCGTATGGGGCGTCGTGAATCCGTCTGATGGCCCACCTCCAGTCCCGGGCAAACTTTAGAGATCGATCTCTGATAAGCCAGTCTGGGAGGTGCTTTATGAATGGGAAGAAATCAACCAAAGTGCCAGCTGGCGCCCCTCCGTGGCCGAGAGCGTAGGATGCGTCGATGGCCATTTGTATATATGGGTCACTGTCGCTTGTAACCTCGACCCCAAAGCCGATGTTCATGACAATGGCAGTAGCGAACCTTCTCAAAGCCGTTTCCCAGGCCTCAGGCTGCTTCAGGATCCCCTCAACCAGAGTCTTGGCCTCTCTCTCCTGCAGGTCTTGGTAGACCTGGATATTCGACTTTTGAAAGCTCTTCTGGAGAATCTTTCTGTGCATGCGGAATTCGGGACCCCATCGGAGGAATGTCAACGTTTTCTTCCATCCCATCTCCTCGAATAACACAAAGCGGGGGCGGTCGCAGTAGTTCGCGCCGCGCTTGTCGAGCAGGTCGACCGCTGCCTTGACCGAGTTCAGCACCACGACATCCTGTCCCAGCACGTTGAAGTACAACACATCAGAGCTGTACTCCTTTGACCAAGCGGCGTAAGCGTACTCCGGATTGTCGGTCGGTATGACGCGGAGGTGGCCTAGGATCGGTTCGCCGGGTGGGCCCGGTGGTAGCCGGAGGTTCCGGCGTTTTGCGGAGCCGCGCCGGGTAATAAGCTTATGCAGAGCTAGAGCCGCAGCCGCGATGAGGAGGATCGCAAAGAGGCGCGTGCTGTGCACGGTGACGAATTGGACCAGAGCCATTGCGTGTGGCAAATATGTCAAGGGAGGGGTTCGGAGGTTATCGTAGACATGTGTCTCAAAATTGTAGCCGAACTGAGGGTTCTGGAGCTATAACGGATAGAAATTCTGCCTCCGAGGAGAATCGATCTTCGGATCCAGGCTCTTGGCGATATACCCTGCGTCCAAGGTCCGGAGAAGACATGACGAGGGTCGCTCAGCATGTAAATGAAGACACGCTGATATTAGTTTATCAGCAGAAGCTCTAGCGAGCATCGCGCTGACTGAATGCCGTCATTCGTCTCGGGGTTAGTGGGCTACGGTAACCTCGAGACGAAGGATGAGAGGGGAAGGGGAAGGACAAAGAGCTTGCCGGATTATTTGCCCGCGCTTTGCCGGTTACCGGCAATTTGCAAGCCTACCCCCGATAAGCTTCAGTGATTGCCGGAAAAGGATGAGACAAGGAATGCAGAATGTCTTACACTGAGATGGCGGAATGCAGCTCAGACCTCTGGCCCAGGCCGCTCTATTTCTCGCCCTTGAGCTCACCGAAGCTTTTATCATCACCTGTTCTTCAGAGTCTAATATTGAGCTTTCTGAAACAAATTCCTTCCCATCGACTTTCGTAAAATCCCACCGGCCCTCGCTTCGCCTCCGTCTCCATTTCAACGTCTCCTTCAATACCTCCCGACGACCGCCGGACCAAAAGACGACTCACGTAAGGGACGTCTAGTCAGTGACCTGCAGCTGAACACATTACATCATCGAGTCACAATCAGCCGCGTGGATTCCTTTATACCCTACCCCTCACACACCAGCGCACAAAAAAATAGCAATTGCGCCATGGTCGGGGCCACTGCCGCCTCGGCGTTGTCCACGGAGCCGACTGACTCGGATCCTCACCGGTACCAAACCGGGTTCGGAAATCGGTTCTGCTCAGAGGCGGTGCCCGGAACGCTGCCTCCCGGGCAGAATGCGCCTCAAAAATGCAGATTCGATCTGTACTCGGAGCAATTGAACGGTTCATCGTTCATCAGCTCGCGTGCGACGCTGCAGCATGTGTGGATGTACCGCATATGGCCGTCCGTTGCTCACCGACAGGTCGTGCCCTCGCCAGAGCTCAACCCCCTGCTGCAAGCCTGCTTCTCGCCTCTGAATGACAAGGTGAAATATGTGGCGGGACAGCAGGCATGGGACCCATTCCAGTTACCAGGGGAAGGCGAGTCAAGCCGAAATGGGCGTGACTTTGTCGAAGGTATCCGAACAGTGGGCGGACAAGGTGACCCAACGTTGAGGGAGGGGATCGCCGTACACGTTTACACCGCATCGACGTCCATGAGTAACAGGGCGTTCTGTAACAACGATGGTGACTTTCTCATCCTCCCGCAGAAGGGGAGGCTCAACATCCAAACCGAGCTAGGCTGGCTAATGGTTCGGCCCGGGGAGCTAGCGGTGATCCAAGCCGGGCTCCGCTTCCGGGTCCTCCTCCCCGACGGCCCGAGTCGCGGTTACATCCAGGAGATCTTCGGTACACACTACGAGCTGCCGGAGCTCGGCCCCATCGGTTCAAACGGCATGGCGCTTCCCCAGGATTTTGAAAGTCCCGTCGCGTCCTTCGACGTGGATTCGTCCGACTGGGAGATCGTGTACAAGCTGGCGGGATCGTTGCACGCCTGCCGGCAGGGTCACACCCCCTTCGACGTCGTGGCATGGCGAGGGAACCTGGTGCCGTACAAGTACGCGACGGAGAAGTTCATCAATGTGGCAAACGTCAATCACGATCAGGCCGATCCGACGGTGTACTGTGTGCTCACTGCCAAGTCCAAGGTTCCGGGGGTTTCACTGACGGACTTTCTTGTCTTTACGCCCAAGTGGATTCCCACATCGAACACCTTTCGGCCGCCGTACTACCATCGCAACATGTCCACAGAGATGATGGGGTTGCTGTATGGCACGTACGGCGGGAGCAGTCACGTCCTGGAGCCGGGAGGTCTGAGCTATGAGGCGAGCTACATGCCGCACGGTGAGACGTATGAGACATGGCAGAACGCGACGACAAAGGATTTGAAGCCAGATAGGATATGCGAGGGGACGGTGGCTTTCATGTTCCACATCAGTGTGCCGGTCATGCTGACCCAGTGGGCGATTGAGGGCGAGGGCTCAAAGGGTTTGCACCTCGCCGAAGACCAGTGGGACGGAGCCAAGGCTCACTTCCTCGAGCATCTAGACGAGGTGGAAGAGGTCTTGGCCAAGGCAGGGCTGCCAAACCTGGGAAGGAAAAGCGTCAACGGGAAAGTAAATGGGGCCGTCAATGGGAATGGAGTCCATGGTATTGTCAATGGCTACAGCAGTTGAGAGACATTCTTGGGCAGGTTTGCAACTACAGAACAGAGATACGACCGCAGAATGACATCACGCAGAATGAACAGGTAGATTTATGAGGCTCTAGGCCATCTAGGCGGCGAAAATACACTGGGTGAAGTTTGTAGAGGCGGAAAAGAACCCGGGGCAACAGCCGGCAATGCATAAGACCCAACACAGATAAGACCGAGGGGGTGTGGCTGAGGTTTTCATGCCTATCAGCTCGCCAATCTCCCTAGACGAATCTTTCAAGATAGCGCCCGCTGTTATCAGCCCGTCAAGGCCGACCCTCTGCCGGCTTATTTGTCTCCTGTTCCAGTTCAACTGCCTTTTCTGCGGCAATTGCAATGGAAAACTGTCCCTCGGACTGCCTCTTACCTCTAGCCGGCTACAGTGGAGCTCAGTTATGTCTTCAAACACTGAAGAGAGCCCGCCGGCCACCATCCGAAACCCCACCGAGTCCGGAGACCCACATTCGGCCAATGCGGCAACGAAGCCGGTGAAACGGCGCGGAGGCACTGCCTGCCGGCGGTGCCGGCGGCTTCGGTCGAAATGCGTCAAGCAAAACCGACAGCCTCCGTGTGAGGCATGTCTGCTGGCTGGCACACAAGCGGCACGAGCCTGTTCTTTTCCTCGCCGAGGAGAAAGAGACACAGACCGGGAGTTTCGACGTCGTGTACCAATGCCGACCCACTTTGCTCATGACGATATAGTTGAAGGAGGCGTTGAGGATCTTGCCATCATTTGCGCGTTATCAACCGCTCGAGACGCAGATTGCATAGTCCAAGAGGCCACTGTAGGAGACTTGGCCTCGTTTCCACTACCAAAAACCCCAGCCGACACTGTCTGCCCAAACGCCTCCCCTCCTTCACTGTCGCAGCCTCGATCATCAAGCAACACATCCCTTCCACCTGAAGATGAAGTAATCGAAGGCTGCAAAACCTTCGTGACGTCCTACTTCCAGCTGGGCTTCATACCGAAAGCCATGTTCCAGGAGAACCTTGTCCGCAACCCTGCATCCACGAGTCGCTTCCTCCTTTGCTGCATTCTATCAATATCTTCGCGCTTTACTCCCTCTTTGGTACATCGCTATGGCTCTGCTACCATGGCAACAGACCACTTTCTCGAAGCAGCGCGGGCGCTGGCGTCAGAAGAGATGTATCGCCCCTCTCTCGACAATACCCAAGCCTTCTTCCTGCTTGCCATCGCGGAATGGGGCAACGGCGATCGCGATAGAAGCTCCATGGATATGGGCGTTGCAGTTCGCATGGCTACACTACTCAAGCTACACCGTGAGGAGAGCTATACGCTACCACCAGATGCCGAGGCCGAGCAGCTAGTCCGAGCGGAGTCAGCTAGGCGGACCTTCTGGATGATACAGAGCCAAGAGAACCTGCATTCTGGGTATAGCACGCCGGCACCCTTTTCGCTGGATGATATCACAGCGTATCTGCCCTGCGACGAGAGCGACTTTGCTTTTGGAGTGGTACCTGCCACAAGGTCTGCTCTTCCCGGCACGCCGCCTGCGCTGGCAAACCCTTCGTTGGCAACAGGGCCTGGCCGGTGCCTCTTCGCGACCCTTATCCAAGCACATAACCTTTGGGGTCAAGTAGCTCGTAGAGCAGGTCGCCCGGGGCTCGGTTCGGATGACGAAGGACCTTGGATGGCTGGGGGTAGTCATTCGGCGATGATAACTTTGCTTCGGAGTTGGGAGGAAGAGATGCCATCTAGGCACAAATGGAGTGTATGGAATCTGCGGGGGTGGAAAGCAGAGTCATTGCACCTTGCCTACCTGTCCGTGGTAATGGTGCTGCGGTTGAGCAACATTGTTATCCGCCGCATCTACATTGATCAAATCATCAGGACGCTATCGTCGACGACCGAAGATGCGTTGCCACAAGAGGGACAAGCCCCAAACGAATTTTGGAGAGGCATGTCCCACGACCTCTTCGCCAACGTAGTCGAATTACACGAGCAGGTGGAGGCCTACTTCAGTGTAAGATCCAGAGACGAAGGGTTCCCCGCCATTCTGGTATTCTGCGTCTACATATGCGGGTCCTTGGCCTCGTATCTCTGGCGCCATCCCCAGCTTTGCCCGCACATTGCCCCTTCTGAGGCCGAGGGCATGGCGATGGGTTCCCTGAAAGTCCTTGGCGAGCTGCATGAGGCATGGCCCACCAGCGGCAGATGGCGAAAGGGCCTCCAGCAGATTGCGAGCCCTCTATCTAACACAGCATCTCCAGCTGCGGGGAAAGACCCCGGTGGAGCGGGAATGTCTACGAGGCAGGATAATAGCGGCCTGGATGCGGCGTGCAGCACTACCGCCGACGGCCCAGACGACCAGTTCGAAGCTGAGCTTGCGGCCTTCCTTAATGGGGACTTACACTATGACTTACTGGAGGGTCTTGGCACATCAGTTGGCCAGTTTGATTGAAGCTTTGTCCTGGAAGCCTATCCTCCGGCGCCGGCAGCTATTGCCGGTAATGTGGGGCGACGTGCCGATATCTATGTCGGGGGCGCGCGGCCACTTTGCCCGTTTCCGGCAATTGGAGTGCCAATGCGGGCCATGAATAGGAACCCCTCACGAAAACCTATCAACGTCCCCTCAGTGTTGCAGGCTGCCTTGGGTTCACATTCGCCCACTCAATTCCCGTGCACTCTAGCCATACTATACACCAATGGCGGCAACAGAAGGTCATCCGGACGCCGCCTCGTATGCCGCCTCCGGGTACGGTAACCGCATGGGCTGGGGCGCGCGCCCTGCGCTCCTCCTCATCGATATTTGCAAAGCATACTGGACCCCTGGCTCGCCACTCGACCTCTCCGGCGACCCTGCCGCAGTCGAGGTCCCCGCCAGTGCAGCACGCCTCGTCGCTGCCGCCAGGAAAGGTGGTGTGCCGGTTCTGTGGACAGCGGTGGAGTACACCGATCCCAGCATGGCCGACGCAGGGCTCTTCTGGCTCAAGGCGAAGACTCTGGCTGTGTGGCAGACCGGAAGCGAGCTTCACTCACAAGGCTTGGCGGATTGGGTGAACGAGGACCTGACACCGAGTGAGGGGGACGCGGTAATTAAGAAGAAGTATGCGAGTGGCTTCTTCGGAACGACGCTTGCGACGGAGTTGAGGTGTCGAAATATTGATACGGTGGTCATATGCGGGGTTAGTACTAGCGGGTGTGTAAGGGCCACTACGTTGGATGCTATGCAGAATGGGTTCCGACCGATGGTGAGTGAGATCTATATTAAGGTAATGAGTGGTTAAGACTAATAAGCCGTATATAGGTGGTGGGGTCCGCATGCGGCGACCGCAGCGAGGAGATCCAAAAGGCTAACCTGTTCGACTTGGATTCCAAGTACGCCGACGTGGTAACGGAGGCTGAAGCAATAGAGCATCTACAGACAGGGTGGTTAGGGGCATAGTATTCAGGTTCATTAGTAGTTGGGTGGTGATGGCGGCTCTATGTCTATATCTATCACACTTCTAATCCTCAATCGACTTCAAGTCCCGGGTCAGCCTCCACTTTGGGCCAAACTTCATCTCGATATACATGAGAGGTAGCATTAAGGCGCATACCCCTCCTAGAAGGACGTAGCTCCAGCTCACGCGGAGGGCAGCAGTCATTCTATCGATAAGACCCACAAGCAAAGCGGCGAGCAGGCATCGCACAAGGTTGGTCTACGACAGTCAGCAGAGATGTAAGACGTTGATTGAGAGCGTTACTTACACAAGCGGTTGCTGCTGAGCTCCTGGTCTGCAAGATGTCAATCATCAGCGTCATCGTGGTGTTGAGGATCGAGATCGAGGTGTATCCCACTACAACAGGTTAGCATGATAAATGGACTCCCTTAATGCGAGATTACTCACAAACGACCTGCAAGGCGAGTGGTACGGCGATGTGTACGCCTTTGTCTACGCAGAAGCCCCAGACAATCACCGCCCCTGAGAAGAGCACAAGGAGTACAGGCATAGTCCTCAATCGGGCATACTCCTTGGGGAACTCGAGTGCTCCATCAGACTCTTCCACATGCTTCTTGATCCGGGCGTAGTCCCAGTCGAGAAATTTGCCAGTCAAGGTGCTCCCGACAATCATTCCGAAGCCTGTGGGAAGGTAGCACAGCCCAAGCGCTGTCTCAGATAGCCACGGGTAGACCCTAGCAAAGGACGAGGCAACAGTAGTAACGACGGTGTTATTGACGGCGTAGACAACGCCAGTGAAGGCCAACGTGATAGCAACGTCGGGGTAGACGAGGATGACGAAGGGGTTGATAGAGGGGCGGACTCCCGGCTTCGAGGGCGTTGTCTTTTGCTTCTTGCGGGAGCGACCTACTACAGGAACCAGTGGTGTGTAGACGCCCCCGAGGGTGACACTACCGTTGCCGACGAGGTTACGAAGAGTCTCCGGTAGGAACCTAAGAGAGAAAGAGGAGATGTCAGAAGGGGGGTTATGATGGAACATTCGGGTTGTCTTACAGTAAGATGAAGAAAAGGCAGCAAACCGCCATCACAATCAAAAACCAAAAGATTGATCGCCATCCAAGCTTGTCAGACAAGGCACCACCGATCGCGGGAGCGATGCAGGGCGAAATCTAATTACGATTAGCAAAGAAAGGGCCTCAGAGAGACCGAGCACATAGCACTTACCATGGGCCCAAGGTTAAACATGCCAAAGAAGCCTCCTCTCTCTTCCGGTGTCGATACGTCACCGATCACACCCGCGCCTGTTACACATTAATCCACTTGATCAACATTGAAGTGAGCACGCGAGCACTTACCCAATGCAATAGTACTAGCACAACCCGCCGCTTGTAGGCAGCGGAGGACGATCAAGAGCCAGAACGCGTCTGTGGGGCAGACAGCAATCCCAACACATGCTCCGATGAGGACTGTCAGGCAGACCAAAAACACTGGGCGACGTCCATAGCGATCAGATAGCGGACCCCATAGCATCGGGGCTGGTTTTGAGCCCGTTAGTGTTGCGGAAACGCTCGCATTGGTTGGTGTGCTTACATATGCCCTGCATTGCAAGGAACGCGGTAACAGTCAAGTTAAGCAGCTCAACAGATTTACCGAATGCTTCTGACAGCTTAGGTATCGCAGGAAGGTAGATGTTCGCAGGTAGAGGGCTGCACGCGTCAGTCATGCGACCACTCGCCTCCTTAGAGTCTGACAACGTACCTGTAGAACCCAGCAACGGCAACCATCCCGACAATGAACCATTTCTCCTTTCGGGTGAAGATACTGTACGGCTCCGCAACCCCAGCATCCCCGAGCGGGATTCTGAGGGGCTCCGGCACGGGGCCGGTCCCGGACTCGTTCTTGGCGTCTTTAGGTTCGGCCATTACGGGGCCGGCGGTCGTCCTCGAGTCTGGAGAAGCTCACAACAACTCAAATGGGTCCCCTCAATTACCCTCAATCTCTCGAATGGCAGAGATGATAAGGAGACGAAGGTCTGGGCAATTATCTTGGGCAGAAAGAAAGCGATTGCCAGCGGGACAACGTCCGTCGGTCAACGAAAAACTTGCCCGAGGATAAAAATTGGTGGAACCCCCTGCAGACCCACGCCCAGCAACTCGGCCAAACCACTCGGTGCCGGTTCGCAATGGGCGAGGGCGGGTCTCCGGCAACGGCTTCCGAGGCCCGTTTCACAGGCGATCCGGATATTAGCGGTGGAGAGTAAGTCCGGTTGCGCTAAGGACAAGGGCGAGCCAAACTTGGCACGAGGGGATCGCCAATGAGGTGGCGGGTGATAAGCAGAGGCTCTCTGGAGGCGGTGGGGTCGTTCCGTCTGGGCCCTGATCGGCCGCGATGATGTCGCTGGAGGCTCTTACAAGGGCAGGGGTCGCGATATGGAAATGCGGGCTATCGTGATGTGAATGTGTTTATCTGATGGATTTGCTTGGCGTCCGGCAATCTGCTTTGCCTGATTGCTATCATGAGCAGAGACGGAAATGTTCCAATCGGTCCACGTGCGGCAACGAAGACGCCAGAGGCTCTCAAGGTAGACGGAAGTCAATGAGCCTGGACATAGATATCAATTTCAGGGAATAGCCGTACAGGTAGTAAGACTGTTATTGCCAAGAAAGCCTCCATTGACTCTACGATGAATTACATAGTACTCCTGATCGTTCTGTTCAGAATATTAAATCCGGATGGATCCACTATGTTAGCTGGGAATGTTTCTGTGAAGACTCTGTATTGCTTTACCACGAAGAGGCCCCAAGTATGGCGAGCACCCAACACAACACGCCAATAGGCGTAGAGAAACAAGATTCTGAAAACGATGTAAAGCAAGACGTTGAGACCGCCAGCTCCATTCACGAGGCGCAGTCCGAGGAGGCTCGCGGATGGCGGGCCTGGGCCCAGAAACTCATGTCCCTCGGCCACGTTGAGGTCCGAGGAATCGCTCCCATTCCAGTCGAAGAGCGAACCGTCACAAGAACTGTCAACATTTTCACCCTTTGGTGGTGTATGAATGCCAATGTCTTGCCGTAAGTCAACCTCCTCGAAGCCAGGCAACGCTCATGCCACCACCAAAGCAAAACGCTAAGTCAATATCAGTATCACATTCGGCATGCTAGGCGCGACGTATGGCCTTTCTCTCCGCGATGCCTCACTCATCATCGTCTTTTTCATCCTTCTGACAACTCCAATACCGGCCTATCTATCGACCCTAGGTCCGAAGACAGGCATGAGGCAAATGATACAGGCGCGCTTCAGCTTCGGGTATATGTCCCCCTATCCGCGGCGCTGCATCTCTCACTAATACATGTCAGCCGATACCTCGTAGCCGTTCCCGTGCTTCTCAATCTTGCAACTCTGACAGGCTTCTGTGTGATCATGGATGTCATCGGCGGCCAGTGTCTCTCAGCTGTGGGAGAGGGCAACGTGAGCCCGGCAGTAGGGATCGTTATCGTTGCCCTGCTTGCCCTCGTCATCTCTTTCTGTGGCTTCACCGTCCTACACTTATATGAACGGTTCGCTTGGATACCCGCCGTCATTGCCATCATAATCGCGATAGGCTGCGGCGGCTCTCACTTGAGAGAACGGGCTCCGACTGAGCCAGCTACGCCGCAGTCCGTCGTGTCGTTCGGCATGATCGTGGCCTCATACATGATCCCCTGGGCATGTCTTGCATCCGACTTCACGACGTATCTCGAGCCATCTACATCATCGTCAGTCCCACAAGGCCTCGCAGCCGACTTAGTCACTGACACAATAACCAGAAAGAAGATTTTCGCATACACTTACCTTGGCCTCGCCCTCCCCACGATTCTCCTCATGATACTAGGCGCCGCCATTGCCTCCTCCGTACCCCTGGTACCTGCTTGGCAACAAGCATATGACGAATGCCTCGTCGGCGGCGTTCTCTCAGCGATGCTAACTCCGGCGTCAACTTTTGGCAAAATCGTCACCGTAGTCCTGTCCTTCACTCTCCTCGGCAACATCGCAGCGACGAGCTACTCTATAACCCTCAACTTCCAGCTCCTCGCGCCCGCCCTAAAACGCGTGCCTCGGTCCGTTTTCTCCTTGCTCGTCACGGCAATCATAATCCCCGTCGGAATCCGCGCAGCGAGCGACTTCTTCGCGAGCCTCGAGAACTTCATCGCGCTCATCGGTTACTGGTCCGCCGCCTTCCTGAGCGTCGTCCTCGTCGAACATTTCTGGTTCCGCAAGGCAGACTGCGAGCGATATGAGACGGAAGCATGGGACGACGCGAGGAAGCTGCCGGTTGGCGCGGCGGCGTTGGGGTCCTGCGTGCTGTGCTTCGCCCTGGTCGTCCCCTGCATGGCGCAGGTGTGGTGGACGGGGCCGATCGCCGAGGTGACTGGCGACATCGGCTTTGAATTGGCCTTTGTTGTTTCTGGACTGCTCTATGTTCCATTTCGGACGCTGGAAAGGAGGGTTTCAGGGAGGTGATGGGTTATTGTTGGTCGGAAAGACGGTGCAGGACAATGGCGGTGAGATGAGCCTGCGCCTCGGAGGTTCGTTTTGGGCAGGAGACGCGAAAGTACACTGGGTTCATGTGAAAGATGTAGCAAGTGGTTATTGATAGTAATTCTTACTGTTTACTTGGAATGGCGACAGAAGACGGGTGGAAGCATACAATATATTCTATCGGCTGGGTGCCTGCATCGCCGCCCCTCCCTTGCGCGCAGGGGGCGACCAGGGTTCGGAACGCGAACCATCAAAGGCAACTGATATCTACCGCATATTGAATGGTTTGTCAGAGAGCATTTTCCCTTTTGAGAATCCGCGAGAGACAGTCTCGAATAAAAAGCAAAATTCAGGCCACTACAGGAGACGAAGCCGTGCGAGACGCACCAACAGCCCAACGTCCGGGACCCATTGGCGGGAATATCTCTTGGAAATCTCTTGGGCCCATCTCGGAAGAGCGTGCCGGTCGCAGTAGTTCAGACGAAGATGCATGCAAAATGGGAGGGCAAGGGAAAACGCAGCAAACACCACGTGTCTCGAGGCAGATCTGGACTGGAAACGTGCGGCGGCGACGTGCTCCTGTTGGGAACAAAGGTCCGGGCGGGACATCATGGCCGGACGGTCGCATCCCGCGATCTTTGCCCATTGTCCACCTCAGTCCATCTCAAAGAGACACCCCTGGAGATGGCCTTATACTCTTCTTTCTTTGTCAGGCAGCCGCAGGAAGCGAGCGGGCAGGGGTTGGTATGGATGTTTGCCCCTCGAGGAGGCTTCAGCATGCGTCTGTAGAGGAAACGTGCAGCGGACGAGGGGCCCGAGGCCGCGGAAATTGGGAAGCTGCGAGAGGCTGCAAACTTCAGTTGTTTGTGTCACCTACTTGACCAGGACAAGGTCGCAAGGACAATCGGATATGGGATAGGGGACTTTGCATTACGTGCGTTAGAAGATGGTCGACGGAAATGCATGTGAGAGCGACTGGCACGACCGGCGTGGGCATGTCGATCTCTTCTGAGCCCTCGATCATTACGAGGAATCAACACAGCACCGTCGTTTAGTCTGGGCTCTTACACAACGCTGTAAATGAAGTCGGGGCTGCCGAGGAGGCATTCGACGTCGTGAGATGCACTCCGCAAGTAAACAGACCATCAACGAAGACCAACCTTTCCAACAGGTGGCATTCGTTAAACCTCGATGGTTCAAGTCGTGTGCCGTGGCTTTGGTCGTGTGATGCTTCCATTCTTCAGCCATTAGCCCAGATTCTTGGGACTGTAGTGTAATACGAAACCTAGAAGCTGTTACTAGACGCCATAAAATCTCTGAGCCCGTCAAGATCGTCGTTTCCGGATAGAAAACGTCCACGGGACTACTTTGGCGCTGCCACACCCGCATGAAGCCGAACTCTCCTCGTGGCGGTTCGAATAAAGTTGACGCTCTCCAGGTCCGCCCGCACCCGGCCCCGGAGTGGCTAGGTTGCGCCGGGTCGATGATTGGTCTCACCGGCACCCGGATGGCGCTCGTCGCGTGGCCGTGTAGGATTGTCATGGTTGGGGGAATGGAATGTGCATCGGATAACGCCCACGCTAGTGAGTTTGTTGGGATTGATTGACATTGTGTTCGATTGCTTTCATGTACGGTTTCTGCAAGTAAGACGGAAGGCAATGGGAAGCAGCGCAAGAGAAAGAGAGCATGGACACAGCATTAGACCAGCCTGTGGCAGGTGTGCTTCGGATGTCGGGACCTGTCATCATCTTGGATCCGAATCTAGCTGATCCGTCCATTTGGTACCAGGCGAGAGAGGCAACAAGGCACAGAACGTCGGCAGCAAACTGCTTCCCATTCGCCGCTCCGTGATCCATTCGGTGCAAGGGAGAACGTGGGATAGATCATGGAGATGGAGGGGAGCCACAATGCCGAGACCAATGTGGTCTGTTTTCTGTCGGAGATGAGCCGACACTGGCATCAAAAGCTGGGGAAAAAGTCCACCAAGATCCAGATTTCCTGCTCTCCGGAAATCTAAGCAAGCCTTGCGCTCTCCAGGTTTTCCCCGGATGGAAGCAGCATCGAAAGGCGTCTTGTTTTTGTTCAACATGATGGAGACGTGGTTTATCCTTAGTAATGGAAAAACACGATAGCCATACAGGCGGCGCTAGTGCTGCTTGTGTCCATCAACGTGAATGGCTGCAAAGCTTATCTCATCGACCATTCTTGATGTTCACTGGCCTGGGCTGTGGAATTCAGGTGTACACTTGTGCCAAGTGCACCAAGACTTGACGGCGATGCGGCTGTCCGTCGGTCAAGAGCCTAGCAGCCGTCCGTCTATTGGGTTTCCACGGGCTTGGGAGGCTAGGGAATCTCGTGTTTGCTGATTATGTGCTTTCAAGCCAAAAGGTGGCAGGCAGACATACAGGGCCCCGGTCTTTTACCCGGTATCAGTTTTGTTGGTGGCTGCAACGGACAGAACCCCGTCAGTCTTAATGAAGGGCACCACCGCCAATGGAACGAACGTGATCGCAAAAGACACAGAAAACTTTCTTGGCCTTGCGCTAGGCACCAGGGCACAGCCTGAAGAGAAAGTGTATGCAGCCTCAGGAACTGCCAGCTCCTTCGGAAACAGCTCCCCTAGACTGGCAGCCATCCGTGATCCACTGCCGGATCCTCTTGATGTAATGACCAGTGCCCATCATCGCGCCTCCATCTCTCCGCGCGCCGCTGAGGTCTTTCGTGCGGGGAAATGCCAGGGAAGGATTGCGGGGGATGGGAGGAGAAGAAGAGAGGGGGGCGTTGGGGCAACCTTGGCCAACTTGGGCGAGCAGTTGGGCACTTGTTGGCTCTCGGGTATTAGTTTTGCGCGCGGTTCAAGAGGGCTGTGAACCTGGCCAACCCTGCTCGTTGTCTTGGTCTGCCGAGAGCTCGCTCACTGTCCGAACTGTGCCTCCAGTCTCGTTATGCTTATTAGGGTGGATGAGTGGAGAGCTCCGTGAGGGGAAATGGAGACGGCGATAACGGGGCGAGAGCGATGGCTGACAAGTGTTTGCTGCTTGTTGACGGACTCTCGGTTGGAGAGGAAGAGAGAAGATTTGTTGGTCAGGAAATGTGCAGAAATTGTGAATGCGTGGGCCGCTCTCATGCCCCCTGTCTGTGTCCCTGTCACTATGTTCTCCCACCTTCCCGATTGAAGGGCGAAAAGTCTCATCATCCACATGACGATACCGTATAATCTCGACGAACGCAGAATCCACACCCCCCTGCCCACCCTACTAACTAACCCAAAACACCACCTTTTCCAACGCAAATACTACCTATTAACAGCACCAAATCAGCTCTTTTCGGCAAGCAGTTAATACACGCTCTATTACCATTATTTCTCACTTATCCTATAATTTTCCCTACTTTTAGTAGTATTAGGTATGTTGCGATATATTAACTTTAGGGTACTATAGCTTAATATCACCTATTCATAGAGATTTATTTACATATTCAGCTAGGTCTATCCCTTATTATGCTACCTAAAAAGAAGCTATGTAAGCCTAAAGTTATGCTATATAAAGAGAAGCAGTATATAATACTTAAGCTTATATAGAGACTCTAGCACTCCTACTCTAACTATAAGAGGCGTGAGGTATTAATACTCCTCAAATACTACTATATTAATATCTAACCTAAGTAGTAGTAATACCTCTGTAATAATAAAAGCTACCTTAAGGGTATCTACTGCTAGCTAATATATAATAAGGCCTTATAGTAGTTTATTATACTACTATTAATAATCATATAGTAGTATAGAGAGAGTTATACTATTTCTAAGCTAGCCTTATGTAAATTATGCTACTAGCTAGACTTTCCCTACCTTAAGGCTACCCTCTATTAGTTATTTCTTAAGCAGCGTAATATAAACCTTATTATCTCTACTAAATAGTTCTAATAAACTACCTAAGACCTATTCCTTACTACCTACCTATACTAACTTATCTCATACGTTTTTACTTTCTTATATAGCTAGTTTTTAGGCTTGTACTGCTACTAGAATATTAGCTGCTACTAGATTACTAAGTAGGCCTCAAAATTACCTGAGGAGTATATTAAAATTATTAACTCCTTCCTATAGTTCTATTAATATATTAACTAGCTTATACTTACTAAGTTAAAAGGTCCCTCTATTAAATATATACCTAATAAGGAGGTTAGCTAGTACTTCCTATATAGTTATATCCTTAACCTTAATAAAATATTTATCACCTTTAAATACCTTAATAGCTTAACCTAAGTAATCTCTAGTAGTAAAACTATTACTAATAAAACTAACTATAGCAGTCAGAGTAAGCAATGAGCTATACTAATCTTATATATCTTTATAGATAAGATTTAGCACCTCAAGCCTAAGTTAATCTTCTATAGCAAGCCCTCCTTGATAAACAGTAAGATTAAGGCTAGTAAGGGCTACCTCTACTACCTTAACGTTACTATTAAGCTTAATAATACTATATCTAATAACAAGACCTTTTTTTCACACTAGATTAATAAGGAGTACACCTAAGTTACTACTAATAAGAAACACCTACTTATTATAGATATCACTAGTTAACCTACCTAAAGTGCTAGTTATTATTAGCCTTACTAATATTAATTATTATGAGGGATATACCTATAGGGATCTCTAGAGAGGAAGGCTTTTAGAACATAAAATAATACTATTAGTATACCTTAAAGTAAGAAGAGTTAAGGTAGTTATTAGTTATATCTTATTAGTTAATATAATTTCTACTTAGGAAAATATAGCTATTTTAAGTACTTATAGATAAGGTTAATCTACCTGCAGTTCTCTATTTTAATTATAGTATGCAAAAGTATAAAAAAAGTATATTTTAGCTATATACGCCAATACTATAAGTCTCAGATTCTGCTGTTTTTTTACTGCTGCTACCCCTAACTTAACCCCCTAATAGCCCCTGCTACTACCCTAGTAGGCCTCTGCAGCCCTCCTACAGCTAGCTAATCGGTCAAGTTATGCAGGGGGGTGTGGATTCTATGTTCGTTGAGATTATATGGTATGATGCTCTAACTAAAACAACCTGTCGAGTCTTTCGTGAGTGTAAGTGTCCTCGTGGCTGCGGGTGGCTAGAACTCAAAACCGCCATGCCAAACGGGTGCGCATCATCGCATTCTTGTCAAGTCTCTCGGGAACAAGGGAGCTAGTGAGTGGGAATTGTCGAATATTCTACGCATTCCAGCTTATCCTCATTTGCCCTAGAGCACCCTAGGGCGCCTCCAGACGAGGCCAGCAAACATTCGGACCTTCTGTGCGCCACGCTGTCGTACAAACATGATGCCTGGGCATGGGACTGGGCGCTGCAGGCTACCTTTTTTCTCAAATCACCCACCCTCAATTCATTAGAACCGGGGCATTTACTGCACTTGCAGCAGTGGCTACTGTTGTGTTTGTGTCTTCCAGCACAGCTGAGGGTGAGTTGCCTGCAATTGTGTCTGGACCTCAAGACTCTGGCAGGCAACCTGCAAGGTTCGAGTCATGGATCTTGTTCACAGTCTCGGCGCCCATGGCTTTTCATGTTTCTTCTGGATTATTCACGGTCGAAACGAGCCATTCACAAGTCTCTCTTCTCACGCCGTGTAGACAATTCCCCGCCTCCCTCTAGCCTTGGCTCCGTGTCCAGTCGCTTGACCCCCGTCGTCTCCATCTGCTCCCCCATTCCCCCATTCTCCTCCTCCTCGCCTCCATGCCCTCCCCGGTCTCCCTTTAGCTCCATGACCGCCCATCCCCCGGCCGTCACCCCCCTTCACCAGAAACTGCCCCGGACACCCCCGGTCTGCCGGCCAATCACTAGTAACAAACCCGCCTCCGGGGTGGCTCACAGTAAGTGCCAAGAGCTCTGGGCGCGCATTGCAGGTAAAGTAATCCGGTCGTACGGACAAAAGTTGGCCTGCTGAATGCGACTTGACACCGCCCTCGCTCGCCGCTGGAACACGACAGGAAGAAGGCCGGGACCGACTGCATCGAACACTGGGAGAGAACGCCATACATCCAGCCTCTCATGTCCCCAGTCCCCAGGACCCCTTGTCTGGGCAGCAGTCTCAAGGTGATGAACGGCGCTGGCAAGCTTCGAGCTGCAGGCTACGTACTACCCAATGCGAAAAGAAGGAAGGAAGAAAAGCCCTACATGCAGCCGCGACTCGACCGGGCCTGGAAGAGAGACATGGTCACCCAGTTCTCTCAGTTCTCACTGGCAGCGGGACAGGGTAAGCAGGGTACCGCGCAGCAATGTACCCTGTTCCCCTCCCATCGGATGCCGCACAGTGATGTCTTTTTTTTGCGGAGAGCTGCGCAAAGTCCCCCAATCTCTTTGGCAGTTCTCCAAATCTGCACATGTTGTCGTCGTCGTTCATACTAGCGCATCTCATTCCCCTTCGCTGATTTCGTCAACTTTTGTATGAGTGTGGGTGGATCGGCAGAGGTAGCACTCGGCGGCGACGGAGGGGACATGAAGCAATGGCAATGAAGAGAGTAGAGTGATAAGTAAAGAAACGAAGAGGGGGCCCAGACGGACGGCGACATGGTTCGTCCATCCCATCTCGTCACCTTCGTCCGGTCTGCCATTTATAAAGATGCCTCAAGGTTTCATCCCACCCCGGGTCCTCGTCTCTCCAGCTACCTGACTTTACCCCTCATAGCCCATCGAGGTGTTTTGTTTGGACACAGCCATCCCACCCATTGCTCTTCCACTCCGGTTGCCGTGTTCCACCGCATCAAAACCCTCTCACTACCTTCTCTCTTCCACCAGATCTCCCTTTGCCTCTCACCTCTCACCTCGTCTTTGAACTCGCCCTCATTCCTCCTCCAACCATCTCTCCTCCCGACCCGTCCGTGCCGTTGCTCTTGAACCACCCGAGCATTTGACCGAACAGTCCAAAGGGGTAGGTAGAGCAAACAAAAACGAGCCCTCGGATCCCGTCGCCCCCTCAGACGGCAACAGACCGCTTCGCGACCGCTCTCTTGCACCCGCTCCAACGGCACCAGCAACCAAACAACAATTGCGGCCCCTTACCTCGCCTTACCCAACAGAAACCCACAGCCATGGCAGGCTTGACAGAACATTACCAAAAGCGCGATGTGGAGGTGAACGAGAGTTCGGATGAGAAACCCCACGAGTCCCAGGTCGAGAAGGCGCGCGCCCTCGCAGATCTGCCCGATCCCGATGACGGCAAGACGCCGGAAGAGCGGGCCGCCATTGTACGTCGCTTCCCGTCTCCGAGCCGGATGAAGCTATCGCCAGCTCCGGATGACAAGAGAATCATTGCATAACTAACACGCTGTGTTTTCCCATTGAAATAGGACAAGGCGTTAATGTGGAAAGTCGATCTTTGGCTCGTCCCATGGCTCTCACTTCTGTAAGACTGAGCCGCAATGCTGTGCCCGCACTCTCATCGACATTACGGCTAACTTGAACATTCAGCTACCTTCTTTCCTTCCTCGACCGAACCAACATCGGAAATGCCCGTCTCGCCGGCATGGAAGCGGATCTAGGAATGGCACCCAGCGACTACAACCTCGCCCTCACAGTCTTCTTCATCAGCTACGCCGTCTTCGAGCCCGCCACCAACGCCCTCCTCAAGCGCCTCACCCCGCGCATCTTCTTCACCGGCATCATCGTCGTCTGGGGCATCATCATGACCCTCATGGGTCTTTGCCACAACACCGCAGGCCTCCTCGCCGCCCGCTGGTTCCTCGGTATTGCTGAAGCTGGTCTTTTCCCTGGTAAGCTTCACCCCTCATGCGCGCCACCACCACCCCTCCGCCACGAAGTTAATCATCCCCAAAACCTCCCCCGCTAACAATCTTACCCGCAAAGGTGTCAACTACTACCTCTCCTGCTGGTACAAGGGCTCAGAGATCGGCGTCCGCTCTGCCGTCTTCTTCTCCGCCGCCGCCCTGGCCGGCTCCTTCGGCGGTCTCCTCGCCGCCGCCATCGCCAAGATGGACGGCATCGGCAACAAGCCCGGCTGGGCCTGGATCTTCATCATCGAGGGTCTCGCTACCGTCTTCGTCGGCATCTTCTGCTGGTGGATGGTCTTCGACTGGCCCGAGAGCGCCCGCTTCCTCACCCCCGACGAGCGCATCCGCGTCCAGCGCCGCCTGCTCGCCGACAAGCAGGGCCGCACCGCCGAGGACTTTGACAAGCGCCACATGTACGCCGGCCTCAAGGACTGGAAGACCTACGGTTACATGGTCATCTACATGGGCTGCCTCGTCCCGCTGTATGCCTTCTCGCTCTTCCTGCCCACGATTCTTACTGGTATGGGCCACGTCGGCACCAAGGCTCAGCTTCTCTCCGTGCCGCCGTATGCCGTTGCTGCCGCTTTGACTGTCACTGTTGGTGTCATCGCCGACAAGACGCGCTACAGAGGATACTGCAACATGGCGACCGTGACCATCGGCATCGTCGGCTTCGTGATGCTCATCTCGACGCAGAACCCGCAAGTCCAATACGCCGGAACGTTCCTGGGCGCAGCAGGAATCTACCCAACTATCTCCAACACTCTATCTTGGGTTATCAACAACACCGAGGGATCCCTCAAGCGCGCCTTCGTGCTGGGCATGGTCGTCGGCTGGGGCAACCTCAACGGCGTTGTCTCCTCCAACATCTACCTCAAGCGCGAGTCTCCCCGATTCTACACCGGCCACAGCGTCATCCTCGGGTACCAGGTCCTCTTCCTGCTCGGCGGCTCCATCTTCATGCACTTTGCCCTGCGTCGGGAGAACTCTTCTCGCAGGGCCGGTAAGATGGACGCTAAGTGGGCGTCGATGTCGGATGAGGACAAGTGGGTTGCCGGCGACAAGCGACCTGATTTCATTTACACGCTCTGAGCGGTGCGTCAAGGCGCGCCCTGAATGGGAGGAAATGGGGCGATATAGATCGAATGTGAGAGGAGAAAAGGTATCTGGGACAGCCGTTCGAAGAGCGAAGACGGTAGCCTTTGGATCATGAAGCGTCTAGAGGGCGCAATTTTCTGTACATTGTTTGCTTGAAGCTTTGGTGACGTTCATGATACCACAATAATTTTGCTTCAAAACAGAACACTTAGTCCAAAAAGAGAGCTATGCCCCCTTGATGTGTTTAAAGGTCATTTCAACGACGAGGCTTTCTTTCTGGGCCAATAACAGTACCTTGAATCTGAGTGCGACCGTCTTTGATAGCAATACGATGCGCTGCAAGTTCGCGTCAGAAGCTGGCATGCCAGATTATATCAAGGCCTCCCTATCCGCATGTTCTTGTATCTGGCAGAGGGCGTCAGCGTCGAGCAACATACACACATCTCATTCGTCCATCTATACAACCAACAGTCTAGTAGCACTTTGAGAGCTGCGTACCCCCAAATTCAAAATTCATTACCAAGTTCCTACGCCCGATGCTCGCCCAAGCCGACCTCCCATAGTCTGTACCGCCTGACCAACTTGTGAAAAGCGACATAACCCAGTATATAGTCGTTAGTAGCTTGTAGGTATGGCTCTCTTCCATCAAGAACAACACGTATGCGACGAACGCCCTCTTTGACTTCACCAATGACGTCTTCAAGCACCTGAGTAGCTTCCTTGTTCTCATACCAGGCACGACCGTGTACATAATCGTCCACTTCGCCGTTTCTTTCCTCTTTGTAAAATCTGGCCGGTGGCAATCGAATTAGTGAAATCGAGCTGTTGCAAAGATAGCGATCGGGACTTACGACAGAATGTCATTAGTCAAAGCAAGATAGCAAGACATATCAGGAATCATTTCTAGGTAGTTCGACATGTCTTGGTACTGATCCTTGGGGAACGTGAAAAGGGCATACGCGTCTGAAACGCCGTCCTTGTCACGCATAAACCAGGGCCACTTCTTGCCGCCCTTGGTTGGCTTGAGTTTCTTGAACTCCTGCCGGCTCTCGAGGACGTTTGCATTGACAAAGTTAAGTGAGGCTGTGACGATGAAGTTGGCCACAACCGGGTCCCAGTACTTGTATGCCAGACGCATGAGTTCTGCCCATCCCTCGAGGAGGGGTGTCGGCTGCTTCTCTCCTGCCGCAAAACGTTCAATGAATTTTGAGCAATCCTCTGGTGATTTTGAGGTTTCGTCGTCGATGAGTATTCCAAGCCAGGTATACGTGCCGATGTAGACTTGAACTTCTAGTGAGTGCTTTGGGAAGCAGGCCTGAAGTACGTCAGTATTTACTGACAATGCCACGTCATCATGAATGGCCAGTAGTCAAGCTTACAGCTGAATAGGTAATCCCCATCTGGAAGCAATTCCAAGAGTGAGTGCCTTTGTCATAGTTTACCCCCAGCTGATCGGCGTAGGCTCGCATGGCAACCCATAGAGCCTCACTGGGTTCTGGCGCAGGGTCAATGCAGCCGATGTCGGACACGAATGAAGTGATGATCGGTCGTAGGATGGCTGTTAGATCTTGTTCGGGCCTGCCACTATCGCTATCGAACCCCGGAGAATCTGCAAGGCTATTGGGCTTGTGCTCAAGAGCCTTTAGATTCCGAGTTCGCCTGTCCGAAGCTCGGATACGGCTCTTCAAAGTAGAGATGTAGTGACCCATTATCACAAGGATTGGCTTGAAGAGCAAACTACAGAATGGATGACTTTGATGAGACATCATGCCGAGATAAAGCTAGTCCACGCCCTCGCTTTTGTACTTGATACAAAAGATGGCGTTATCTTTTCCAACAGGCAGCCCACCAGCAGGGATTTTAGCTTCAGGAACTAAGATACCAAAGAGTAGCTTTCAAATGCTTCATTGGCCGTAAAACTTCGTCAACGGGACTTCGGGAGCGGCCGACGCTGACATGGGGGCCATGAAGGATGGCAGATCCATGGTGCTCCAGGCCGTGAGATGATCCCACAATGGCGAACAAGACTAAACCGTATTTTTAGATTCCCTGCGATTCCAGACCACGGCACCTCTAGCTTGAGCCCAAGAGCCCTTGCGATCTGCAGCTAAATGAAGAAGGTACCGGGGTGGCCTCGTCTAGCCCGACGTAAGCATCTAAGAGTCACCGAAAGTCCCTCCTTCACGTAGTCCGGTAATGGTGTAGTGACTGACATGCAATGACATAAGTTCTTTCCAGATTGCAACGACTTGCAACACTGTACCCGCTAGCAAAATATCCAATACGCTAGGTGTCTGTCCAGACTGTCTTTCCATGGAATTAGATGTGGTCATCCTCCTTCAGATACATGTTACGTCAAAATTTGGCCCAGGCTTTCGAGGGAAGACTTATGTCCTGATGTATGCAGTTGATTTGATTTATAACATGGAGAGGATCCGACAGTCTTAAGGCATCACAGATCAATATGTGTCTAATGCACTTGCGTTATTTCTCCAGAGGGTCACGACACATGCTGACATTCTGAGGTATAATCTCAGTAAGTCGTACATGCGGCTGACGTTTTTATATCTAGCCGCAGCTTTGCCTCTGCCTGGCATCAGCAGCCACGGCAGGCCGATATGCTCTGAAGGCTCATAACGTATTCGTGCAAATCACATCGATACACTCCTCGCGGTTCTCCCGTTATATGATAGACATCCGCCGGTCTTGGCCTAAGAGATAGCATGGAGAAGGTTGAAGTATAGTCAGCCCTGGATGCGCCACCCCTCGACCCAGGGCTCCTGGAGCTACGAAGCCGCTATTCCTACGTGGAATTCGTCCCCCAGCAAGCCAACGCCCGTGCCTCTTTTCACGGGAGTGAAAAGCCCGCGGTAAGAGCATCGCAAAGGGCTACACCTCGTTGGTGTGAATCTCAACCTTACCGCTGTCGGTATCCCTCACCTTGACGTACACCAAATCAGGCACATCCCCGCCATTCAAATCCGCCAAAACCCAGTGTCCATCCTCGCCCGGCGCGAAGCTCGAGACGATACCAAACGGGCGATCCTGCCACCCCGACTCCGCCGTCGCCGCATGCACCTCCACGACCCCCGAGTCCGTCTCCCTCGTCTTGACATAATACAAGTCCGCAAGACCACCGCCGCCCTCCCCATCATCCACGCCCCGCGGCGCAAGACACCACGTCCCGTTCTCCTCCGCCTCAAACGCCGTCGGCTCGCCGCGGTCGTGGCTCTGGTACCCGCCCCCGCGGCCGGCCGCATGCACCTCCACCATCCCGGACCCGCAGTCGCGCGTCTTGAGGTAGACGAGGTGGTTACCGCGCGGGTACGTCATGGTCCACGCGCCGCCGTCCTCGCAGTCGAAGACCGTCTCCGTCTGCAGCGCGTAGGCCTGGTAGTCCGCGTCCGCGGCGGCGACGTGGAGCTCCACCTTGCCGCCGGGGGTGTCGCGCGTCTTGACGAGGATGAGGTCCGCGCGGCCGTCGCCGGTCCAGTCGCGCAGCAGGAAGGTGTGTCCTGAGGCCGCGGGGTGCTCGTCGACGGCGTCGAAGGCCGTGGGCGTGTTGGCGGTGCGGTCCTGGAAGGCGGAGCTGCGGCTGGCGGCGTGGAGCTCGACTTTGCCGCTGTCGGTGGCGCGGGTCTTGATGTAGACGAGGTCGAGGGAGCCGTCGCCTGTGAGGTCGGCGAAGGTCCAGATGCCGTTGTCGTCTTCAGTGTCGAAGACGGTGGCGGTGGTCGAGACTTCGGTGTCGTAGGGCATCTTGAGGACTGTTTCGGTATGTGAGTGGCAAGGAGTTGATGGGTGATTGTGCCCGGCTTATGATGAAGACTAAAGAGAAGCACGTCTGGAGTGTGGACAAGCCATCTCGACTCCAGATTATTTATACTATTACAGTTGTCTTTTAAGCACTCTGTCCTTCTCGGCATGTCTAGAACACTAAGCCAAGGGACTTCAGCCCCATGCTGGGCACTGACGCCAAGATATTGTTCTCACGACATATCGTCTCGTCCCCTCCGCACAGCGCCATTGTACGAGGTCCGACCCGTTGAACGATGAACGAGAGTACCACCGCCTTTTAACAAATTCAATTTCTATCCTCAGTAACAAGTACTTTCTATTTAATATCCATCTACATTATACGCAATCTGTATTTGCCGCTGAACAATCTCGACGTCGGATCGTTCGGCTCCCTTTGGACTTGGCTGTCTTACTCTTCGCCATTCTGGACCATATCCCAGCCTTCCCTCGCGGAGAGGCCTCCTGATAGCCCAAAGCTCATCTCTCCCATGTTCCCATTGATCTTTTCAGCTTTCATGGGCAGCTTTGGGCGGCCTTCTTCCTATGATGTGACAAGAAACGGCAGAAAACTATCTCCCGCACCAAGGAGAAGTTACAACATAGACTCACTAAATCGACGGCGTGGGAAACTCTGTAATTGATAGATAGATCTGAAGCTTCATGCTTATCAGGCGAAAATACCAAATCTCATCACAAAGAAACCAATGCCTCGAAACGTCTTCATAACCACTTTCACCCGAACTCATGTGGCTAACGCTCTCAAATTACCTCACAAGGTAGACTTTATGTTCAATTGCCATTCAAAAGTATGTACCTGAATATCCCCATACGCGATTACACCAGCCAGTATTTTCCCACCATCAAACCTCCAGACATCCTCTCGCACTTCTTCTTCCTCATACACATCCCCTCCCTAGCCCCTCTAGCACCCCGACCTCCCCAACGCCCTCACCACATCGATACACGCCGCGCCCGTGTACTTGTTATCCGCCTGGCCCTCGGGGCACGAGCAGTTGGGGTCGATGAAGGCCGGCGTGCCCTGCCCGTTGACGAAGGAGTCGCCGCAGACGTTGGCGCAGCGGCCCTTTTCGTACTGGCACGAGATGGCGCCGCCGACGCAGATGCGCTTGCCGTTCGGGCCCGTCTTCTGCGCCGTCGACGTCGCGCCGAGGAGGACGACGGCGAGGAGGCTGAGGGGGAGCTGCATTTTGGGATGCTGGGTTTCTGATGTTGGTTGGCGGTTTGGATTTTGGGGCGCGAGGCGAGGTGAGGCGGTTCTTAGTTTGCGGCTTAGAGAGGGAGACGAAGGAGTGAGGATGCTGTTTGAGGAGCTTGCCTCGGTCTTGTAGAGAGAGGGAGAGGCGCGATGCTTGGCATCCTCAATTACAGCAGATAGTTTGTAAGCCCAATAGCTTTATACAAACCCATCACCACCCGTCCTCTCCCTCCAATTCCAATATTCAACCGTCCTTCCCAATCCGATCCAACACCCTCCCCATCCCCATCCCAAAAAAGGGGACGAAAACCCCAACAGCACCCTGCCCTCACCAGGACCCCAAAACACATCCCACCTCCTGCTCCCCCCCGCCGTCGCTACCGCATTCGGAGAACCGCAGTCCGAATAAGGCATGCGCATCGATCTCGGCCCGCCAAAAAACAACGGGGCCGGCCCCGGGCAGCGCCCTACACGATTCAGTCACAGCCCGCTCCGGTGCGACCCAAGACACGCTATTCGGCCGCATCTGAGCATAGCTCCGGCCGGTTCCCGTTCCCGGACAAGCGAGATTTGCCAGTCATCCATGGCTGGAGAAAGGAAGGATGCGATGGTGGCACGTGGGTGAGCGCACTATGGGGGAGATGGAGGGGGAGAGGCCTCTGTGGGATACCGATTGCCCCTCTCGCTGCAGTCTCTATCGGACTATCGGGCCGCTCGTTCGCGGGTCGTGTGGTCCATGTCAGTGGCCTCGATCAAGGTCGCTTCTCGGATGGTTTCCGAGGAGGAAGATCCGCCGCGGGCACGTGGGCTTGTGGAAGCTGGTCAGATGGACGGAACCATCTGTCAGTGTGTGGGGTATCGACAAGACAGGCTGATGGTGATCCATGGACCGAACAAAAGTCCCTGGGCGCAGAGCAGAGGGTCTTGGTCCAGACGTGGACCACGCAGTCCCAAGCGATGTGTAGCGGCTGTGCTGTGTTAGAAGATGTGACGGGTCTCAGCCTCGTTAGGTTCACCACTGACAGATGGACAGATAATTGTGAGACTCCCATACAAATGGGAGAGGAAAGTATTATTCACGAAGAGGAGAACCAGACAAGAAACTGCATCTGCTGCGCTGTGGCTGTCGTGCAGATGTGGGGGATCCTACAGATACATATCCAGAACACCATCGCCCCTCCCAAACCTCTCTCATCGCCGGCGAAATTCGCGAAAAAAGCCCATAAATATCCTGAGCCCACTGTCCGATCCCATAGGGCCACCGTGAACAAATTTGTACACATCCGCCCTTTTCTTGATTCAAAGACACCTTGTTTTTCTTTTCCCTCGCCCGAGTCGTACTCACGACACAGGATACTGCCACTCCCCCGTCGTCTTGTTCATGTAACCCAGCTGCTCTGCCGCTGCCGTGAAGTCCTACTCCTCGTGCACGCTGCCCATAGCGCCGGCCTTGTTGGACTTCTTCCCTAGCTTCAGCATGCTTAATCTCTTGCGAACGCTGCCCCGCTTCACGATGCCAAGGGGCTCCGCAGGTCGCTCGTCCCTATACTCGCGCTCCTTTTCGGTGAGGTTCGTGCCCATGTCCGAGCTTTGACGGCCGCCCGAATCCGTCACCCACTCACTCGTGGCATCGTTAACGGTCATGATTCGCGGTTCGGTGGACGGGGCGCGGAAGAAGCTCGTGCGGCGGTTCTGGGTCTCCTGGGTCTTGCTGAAGCTGCGGCTTCGGCTGCTGACAGTGTCGTCAACTTCCCCATTCACCTGGACATCGCCGTTGGTCTGTTGCGACACCGGAGATTCCTTCTTACGGCCCCCAAGGAAGCTGAGGCGCGTTCCGCGGCCTCTGACAGCAATGGGTGCTACTGTCGCCGCTTCTTCAGCAATCACGCCAGTGGTTGTGATAACACCAGCGAGGCTCTGGGGCTTGGGAGACACCTGCTCAGTTGAAGGCTCTGACCGTCTCCAGGTGGGGGAGGCGGTGGATGAATCGCGGGAGGGCTGAGGCGGTGCGAAGAGTGCAATCTCGGGAGCAAATGTGCTTTCGAAGCCTGGTCTTGTTAGTACAGGGGATTCTGACGCGGAACAAAATGACCTACATTGCTGAAGTTCCTCATGTCTCTCGTGGAGGATCTCATTTGAACTCCGAGCGAAGGTTGCCAGGCATCTCTTAATCATGATGGCGTGATCGACCAACGCCATCTTGATCGCGTTGTCCTGAGGATCGAGCTCCACCTCTTCTTCCTCTTCCTGCTCTTCCGTCTCGTCGTCCTCGTCATTCTCTTCGCGGGGAGCGGGCAGAAGCTGACGGTAGCAGGCAACGCTGTTCTCGGATTCAGGGTTGACCGAAATGCTGATAGCATCCACGAGCAACTGTGCGTTCTCTTCGTCTCCGTCAGCGATCCTCTTCTCGAGGATCGTCATCTCTTGCGTCTTCCTGACGATACGTTCCAGACCGGTTTCGCGGGCGCTGAGCTTGATCTCCTCGGTGTGGACGATCTCGCTCCGGCGGAGAATTGTGGGGAATGGGTCGGCCGTGGTGAAGATGAGCTTCTCAGCGAAGTGCTCCTGAACAGGTCCAGAAGTGCTTCGCTTAGAAGACACGGAGAAGCTCTGAGGGTGGGCGGACAACAGGTAGTCGCGGATGACCTGCTGAACGCGAGCGCGCTGGAAGACTTGATGGGTGAGGTCGCGGTGAGGAGTGATCGCGGAAACGACGAGGAACTGTCCTTCTACGTCGTCTACATCGCCTCCGGTGACAATCTGGGCAGAAGGGTATTGCTCCTGCATGCGGTCCGTGAAGGCAGCTGCACGCTCTGTTGGCGAGCCCTCGTAGACAAACTCCTTGTCCCGCAGGCTGGGCGGGAAGCCGAGGCCCTTGTAGACAACCTTGAAGTACTTGGGCACCAGCTTGTCGCTCTTTGAGATGGTCTCGTAGATGGTGGCAATGGCACGCTCAGTGCGGGCAAGCTTGGCGAAGTCGAAGATGTTGGTTTCATACTGAATTCGCAACTCTTGGTAAGCTGCGAGTGCACTGCTCCACGCCTCGCCGTCCTCAAAGTACTTGATCATATCGAAGTAGATGCGCTCTTTGCGTTCGAAATGCGTTTGAGCAGGGAATTCGGGGTCGTCTAGGGCGGGAACTTGCTTGGTCGGATCCCATTCGTACAGGTCAGCATGAAGGCGAAGCGCCAAGCCAGCCTCGCAGTTGTTCCTCGCTTCGCCTTGCAGGATGGCCAGTTGGTGGACATAGCGGATGAAGATCTCCTCCTTTTGCATGTCTCGAAGGAACTCCATCAGTCTGAGACGGTTGATAAGATGCGACGCTTCGCTTGTGACGTCGCCGCTGTGAACAGCCACAAGCAGGTCAAGGAACTCGTCAACGGTCGCCATCAGATCACGCAGACCGGCGTAGAGAGGATCGTCGGGAATTGTCGACAGGGGGGCAAACCTCTCCAGAACCTCGTTGACGAAAAGCTTCTGCAGAATACTTTCGGTCAAGGGCTTTGACTTGAAGTAATGGTCGAGGCAGTCGATCATCTCAGTCTGGATAACGGACAAGTCTTCGCTCAGAGTCCACTCGCTGACGATCATAGTCTGCAGCACCTCCACGGCCATCCGGCGAAGACCTTCGTGCACACTAAGACAAAGCTCGACAATCGGACCGACCAAGGTTGGGACGTATTGAACTTGGTAACCGCCCATCTTGGAAAGACCGTAGCGAGCCCGCTCATCGCTGCTCGTCTCCCAACCGATTGCCTCCCATGTTCGCCTCAGCAGCTCGGCTCCATGCTCCCTTACGTCACCGGCGATCTTCCATACGGCCCTTCGCTTCTGCTCGGGGAAAGTCTCCAGGGCAAGGGACGGGCTGCCAACAAGCTTTAGCATAGTTGTGAAGAACATCTTCCAGAGTTCTGTATTGAAGTTCTCGGCCTCGTCGGGGTGTGGTAAGAAAGACTCCAGCAAGATGCTGGACAGGTATTGCAGTGTCCTCATGGTGGACTTATGGTGGTAAATATGTACGCTTAGCCATTCGGGCGGGAAAGCCTCGCCCATTAGTATGCTCATGTGCACGCGAAGGGTATTTTCTAATAATGCAGTCAGGTCGCCTTCTGTCAATTCCAGTTGCATTCCGCTTGGTGAATTCGAGATGGCAGAGAGAATGGCGGAAAGCTCAATCAATGCCTCATCAAAGGTGCATTCTTCCGCAATCGGCTTGGAAGGAAAGGGATATGATGTCGGGAACAAAAGGGAAAGTCGGTTGCGTGGCTTGATGTTGGTGGAAACTATGGACAAATAAGAATCGATAATCTTCGGGAGGTAGTCGGGGATCTCGGCGCCCAAGTTGTCGATTTGACTGGCGAGAACAGAGCAGCAAAGACGGACTTGGTCCTTCCACAGGTCGGTGACGTCCTCGGAATGGCCCCAGTGAGGCGAGATCCAGCGGACAGTGTTGGCAGTAAGGGCGGACTTTTGATCAGGGTGTGAGAACATGTCGAGCTTGGAGTAATTGATGATTAACACAAGCTTGTAGAGCACCAGCTTGCCCTTGACGTCGGCGCAAGAGTCGAGGAAGTCGATCGCGACGTGAAGGATCTCTTCAGTCGTCAACAGTCCTGTTAGCTCCGGAAGCCATGTGTGGAAATGTTGGACGGCCAGTGTCTGACTGCCAACAAGGACCGGAGCATGGTTGCGCATCATGGCGTCCAGGGCCTTGAAGATGTTTCTCAGCTCGCGAGTGAAGCCCGGAGTAGAGCTGGAAGTCGTGATGCCTATGCCGGCTTCCTTAGCCTTCTGCTGGCCTCGCGCATGAGTGATGAACTTGAGAATGTGACGGACGACCTTGAATGTAGATCGAAGTTTCCGAGAGATCTCAGGCTCAGTGGGCTTCTCTAGCAGGCGAGTGAAAGATCGGACGAGACAGGCTGCGGCGAACGGGTAGTTGAAGCGGCTCTCGGCGTACTGATCAACCAGAGGCCCCAAGTTGAATCTCC